TGATGTACTTTATCAAATGCCTTACTGAAGTCCAAGTAAATTATATCCACAGCATTCCTCTCATCCACTAATTTTGTCACTTGGTCAAAGAATGCAATAAGATTTGTCTGGCATGATCTATTTTTGACAAACCCATGTTGGCTTTTAGTAATGACTTTGTTTGCCTCTAGGTGTTCGTTGATTCGTTGTTTGATTATCCATAACCATTTCCAGATACATGATTTTTCTAGAACTAAATGAAATAACATCTATTTAACAAATTAGAGTACACTTTTAATTTTATTATTTATTATTTATTAAGTCACTTTTTATTATTATTTCACTGTACTGAAGTCCAATTAATTGGATCCCATATTATAGGCAAATGGTGTGTTCGAGAGTCACTTTGTGTTAGTTGGTTGAGAATAGTATTTAAGATTTGATCTTCAATTCAGTTCAGTCTGGGATTGGTAAAAACGTAACAGTTCAAGTCCTAACCAAGAACCTAAGAGTTATTAAAGAAGCATCTGAGTATATAGGCAGTTCTGAGTAGGGTGGTTTGTTTTTTTTTGCAAAGTCAGGATATTCAGGCCCAATAAATTCAAAATTTCCATGTATCTAGGCAACCCTTTAGGTATTGCTCAAAGGGCTCTTATTACTATTGGCACAACCATTGATTTTTTCCCTCCATAGTTGCTCAACTTCAATTTGCAAATCACAATATTTTGGTTTTTTTTCTAGCTATTTCTCTTCAATTTGTGCATCACCTGGTATTGCAGATTATTATTATTGTTGTTGTTGTTGTTGTTGTTATTATTACTACTACTACTACTACTACTACTACTACTACTACATTGTATTCATATTGTCCTTTAATTCCTGTTAACTACCCAGATTTGAATGGCTGAGATTTATAGCCAACCAAATTCAAATAAACAAGGGATTCTAGATGGAAAAATAGTATTTCTACCTTTGTGCTGTTCAGATTTAATTTCTGCACTCATGAAACAAATTTATACAACATTGTTCATATCCATGCACACAAACAAAGCAGATTAAGTAGTCTTGCTTAAGACATGTATAAGTGGAAAGTAAACCTGGATTTTTCAAGTATGTCTTTAAATGATTTGCAGTGACTTCGCAAACCTTTTTTTTAGTCCCAATTGTTTAACAATGAAAGCAACAATGTAATTCCTGTTCATACTTACTCATCTGAAATGAAGAAAGCTTGTAGTTAGTAAGGAGGGAGATCTAACAAAGGAATTTGAATTCTAGAACTCAAATTCTAGGACCCAGAATTCTGAAATACTGTGTATGGTTATTTCAGATTATAACTGATAACTCATAGGATTCTTGTGAGCTGTCCAAAGCCACTTAGGTGAGAAGGGTGGCTATGCAAATTAAATCAATAAATAAAATTCTAGTATAAAGATGATTACTCATATCTAAAGTTTATCTGCTTTATGATGACCAACACATTGATTGTTGTGCAAAATTTTGTGATGTATGTCAACACAGTTGTCGGCTTGTTTAGCAGATACCTGTATTAACCGTTTGTGTTTTCCTTTGCAGGGGACCCATTGCAATGCCGTGCTTGGGTAGGCCAGTGTGCATTGTACATAATTATCATGATGTTTGAGAAAACGATCATAATTATAGTGCTCCTAATACCTCAGTGGAAAGAGGTTTGAATCTTGAAGTTTTTTGTTTCTTTTTTTAAACTACACTCAATAATAAATGAATTAGCAGTGTGTGTGTGTGTGTGTGTGTGTGTGTGTGTGTGTGTGTATACACGCAAGCACTGTGTTCTCCAATTTGGTCCTCCAGCTCTCAATGCCATGTTCAGGGGATGGAAGATGTAATCCAACACAGTTGAAAAATATGCTGGAGAAGATTGCATTAATAAAAGTAAAAAAAATTATAACTAAGCCTTTGATTATCCTTAACAATCAGGTTAATGCCCTGATTTTACTGCATTACTAAAATATAGGTGTGTTTCTGTTCAGATCAGTAAAACGATGTTAAATTCAAGAAGGCAGATTCCAGCTGAAAGTTAGGGAAATTTGCTGAGTGAAGTCAGTAACCCAGGGGAGCAGTAATTTCCCATTGACATGAAACGTTCAGGCAGAGGCTAGACATTGCCCTGACTGGAACTGCATTTGTTGACAACTCTTATGCTTAAGTAGATTTCATTCTATGTGAACTCTAAATTATAACAATATATTTAGTGGATTATTTTTTTTACGTTCTCTACATTAGATGTTCTTCCATTTCTCACTTTTTTCTCCAGAAACATTTTCTGAATAAAATATATACATATACAAATTATCACTGTATAATAGCAATTTATATTTTTCATTTCTAGTAAACAATACAAATTATAAGACAAATGATAAAATATGTAGTTTATTTGACATAGTTTAGATGATGGTCTAAGTCAGGGGTGTCAAACTACCGGCACGTGGGGCGGTTGCATCATACGGAGGCCGCGCCCATCCTATCTCCAGCAATGGAAAAAAGTCATGATACGTCACGTGACGTGGCAAGTTTGACACCTGTGGTCTAAGTAAATAATCGCTTAAAACATGCCATAAATTAAAACAGAAGGAATAGAGATGAGTTACTTCTCTTTCCTTTTCAGATTAATATTTACTGAGCAAAACTTGCATGAAACTGGTAGGAAAGTTGATGCTATGATCTGGATAACTTTAACAGCTGAGACTATATTGTTCAAGGAATTAAAAATCAATAATGTGATTTTAACAACTGCTATTTACCGGATTAAAGCATGGTAATATTAATATTCACATTTTTGTACCAGCATTTAAATCATGTACATTCCTGTTTTAAAAGGAAGCAACCCCAATTTGTAATGTACCAAAGAACCCATTTTTAATTTTGTTGATTTAAAGTATTATTTTCTGCCCAATTTATTCTTCCCAATTGTCTCATTAACCTACTACTTCACATATAGCCAGTATAAGCTCACAACTTTGTTGTATATGTATGTAATTCTATGATATTAACATATTTTTCCTCTTTCCAGATAGCTTTGTTGAATCCTATAGAGAATCCTCAGTTGGAGTTGGCTATTGTGATGCTGATAGTCCCCTTCTTTGTAAATGTTGGTATAAATGACATCTTCTGAATATTTGATCTGTTTTGCAATATTTGGAGTCCAAATATATAGTGGCAACATCCAAGAGACCTATATGCTAGCCATATAAGCTGGACTTGTTTAATTCTTACAATACTAATTAATTCTGGTGTGTAGTTTGTGAACCTCATATTTAATGCATGCAGGGGTATTAGATTATTCCTGCATAAACAAACCAACTTTTAAAAATGTTAATTGTACTTTGTGTTTGTGATTTAAAAAAAATACAAAAGAAAATAATTGTAGTTACCTCCTTCATTTTACTTTCATGAATGGAAATAATTATTAGTTGATGCTAAATTAACTCACAAAATAAATATACAAATGAATGCAGCTTCATTAAAGAGAAACCCAACTTCAACATTTATAAACATAGCAGTAAAAAAAACAAAAGAAAAAGGAAATTAAATTAAAAGGGCTGAAGCAGCTAAAATCTCATCTATCATTAGCTGAATTGTTTACATTTTAAACATCTGGAAATAGAACTTTAGGATGCTTTCAGGATATTTTTATCTCTGCGGATCTAAAAAATAGGGACTAAATGAATCCTGCAAAGATGTTCAGTTGCTTGTTTGTTCTTTCATTGTGGTTATATCCTCCATGTGGCCAAGAATGATAGTTAAAGTCGAAAGAGAGATTCCTGATTTGTGGTTTTGCATCCTAGTTCAGGAGTATATATGCACATTCATGAAACAATAGCTACAATTTAAAAATGTTATCTGCAATACATTTATTTTTCATTCTAGAGATTTTTTATTGTGCCAATTGTTTTTTTAAATAGTTGCTTTGGCTTTTTGCCAAAGCAGGATTTTATATTTAAAGATTCTATAACACAATTTACAAATAGTTTTTTTTAAATGCATTTTGTTAGTCTTTGACTTCTTCAGTTCTTTCCAATATATAGATGCCACACTTTTATGGATATAAAAGAAAGACTTTTGTACCACTTGCAAATTAAAAGTTATTGAATAGCTATTGAATTCTTTTTATATTTTTTGTGTGTATGAACCTGACAAAAGGTCTACTGAACTTCAGTTTTAGGATTCCGTCTTTCTTAATGACCCATGTAATTGTGTATATTTAGATAGATATTTCTATACTGTAAATCCCTTGAATCTCGTGACTTAGTATGAAACTAAGTATGAAAGCTAAGGAAAGCTTAACACGACTTCTCCTTTTTAATAGGCATTAATGTTTTGGGTTGTTGATAACTTCCTTATGAAGAAAGGAAAGACAAAAGCTAAACTTGAAGAAAAAGAATCAAGTCAAGATTCAAGAAATGGGAGCAAAATCCGATACAGGAGAGCAGCATCACATGAGGAATCGGAGTCAGAGGCAAGTTCTGTTTAAAAAAAATAAAAAATATTCCCCTGTTTTCTGTTCATTTTGAGCATCAAGGCAACCATGGAAAATAAATAAAGAAGTAAAAATTTGAAAGCAGACTTCAGTTCACATTTAAAATCTGGCAAATGACGTGCAACTTGGGTCTTCTCCTTAAGGCAGGGGTGTCAAACTGCCAGCCCGCAGGCCGGTTGCATCATGCAAAGACTGCGCCCACCTCAGCTCCGGCAATGCGAAAAAGTCGCTATATGTCACAACACATCACGTGACACGGTGAGTTTGACACCTGTGCCTTAAGGTATAATGAGTAGCTACAGAATCTACCAATTACTGACAATTAGAATACCAGTAAGTATGCCTCCAACAGCAAGGGCATCTTCAGAAAGGCTGATCTAATGGGGAAGAGTAGCATTCAAATATCCAGGACCCAAAGTATTTCAGGGTTGAAATATTAACACCAGCATCTTAAATGTGTCCAATAAGTAATTGTCGACCTGTGCAACTTGTTCATAGATGGCATTATATAAACTCTGTACCTTACACTGAATAGTAGCTTACTGGTTACAGGAGTAATCATAGTTGGTTCACTAAACGTAACAATGCAGACATGCTCCTTGTAAGATCATCCAGTAACAACTGAGAACTTTCAGACTTTCGACTTCTCTTTCATTGAACTACAACAGCATTCAAAGCAGCATGCTACTCAGTTCCAGAGACTAAGTTCCTAGTAACAAATAGCAATTATGTTCATAGGGAATAGCTGCTTTTGATACATACCTTAACACAGTGCTTTTTTTGTAAAAAAAAAAAAAAAAAAAAAAAGGTGCCGGAACTCACACAAATCGTACAACCCACCTTGCCTACCCTACAAGGTTTACCTTTGTAGTTGAAAAAAAAAAACCTTCAATGTTTAGTGTATCTAAAAGACTAGGATTTTGTTCAAGGTAAGTTAATACTATTAATGTTACCATGCACTGTGTGGCTTTAAATTACAAGAAGGCATTTTATTAATCTTTTGGGATATTTACTATTGGCATACGCATTTACTTTAATGAGTGGAAATGTCAGCTTTCTATGTGGAATGAAATTGGCCCAATAAAACAAAATTTGGTTGCTTGTAAAAGATTGAATTATTTTTAAGAAGTTGTCAAACAAGGTGGAAAAATTTACATTTGGAGTTTAATATGGATATTGACTTGAAACAAATTAAAGTTGAAACTTGTCAGTGAACAGATTACTTTTAATTTACCTTTAAGTTAAACCCAATTTAATAAATAGATCTGATTAAACCTCATACTGAAGGTCTACCTTTACATCTGACCAATACATAATGAATATATATTATTATTAATAATAATACTTCCAAATCACAAGACATTGGCTTTATTCTTATTCTCCCCCTCTGCAGTTTGAATATAAAGTATAAAAGACTAAAAAGAGAGTTTCGTAGACCTCACAGCCTTTGAACTACCCAAGAAACTGAAACAGCAAAGTTTCGCTGTCGGGCAAGCTTCCGTGCCAGCTACCTTTCTTTCCTCTCACTTCGCCTCTTTTTAACCTCACACCCCATCTTCTGTAAGGGAAGGCAAAGGACTCACTCACCCTCTCGTGAAAGATGGCCTCCATGTTTATGTGTCTCCCACCGCCACCATCAGCTTCCACACCACATGGTCCAACCCAGCCAATCAAGCCACACTCTGGCTGTGGTGCTCCGGCTCCTCATGGCTCCTCCTAGAGGAGGCAGACAGCGCCAGAGGGGACCCCGCTCACACCGTACTGCCAGTGGGGCATTTTCAAAAACAAATGAGGATAGGAAGGGAAACAATAAGAAAACGCAACTCTGGAAAATCCATTGAAAAAAGGTGCCGGCACTCCGTTCCAGTGCGTTCTATGACAAAAAAAGCCCTGCCTTAACATATTCTAGTACAATGGTCCCCAATCTTTGCAACTTGGCAGCCTGGCTGGGGGAGGGAGAGGGGAACCAGTCATGTGAGTGGCAGGCCAGCTTGCATGCTCGCAGCTCGAATGGTAAGGTACCATTTCTTAATCAACTTTCCCAGAAACTAAATGTTTGAGACTGGATTGCAATCACCTAGAACTTCTGATCGTCCAAGGGTGTTTTCAATAGAAACCTATAACTTATCTTCCTGAATTAGGCAAAGATCACATCTTGCCCCAAATTCCCTTAGCATTATTTATCTGAACTGCTCAAGTTATAAAATCAGAGTCTTTGTGTCTCTCTGTCTTTCTGCACCATATTGATATTTCAACTTCTTAGTATATCCTAAGACACTTTTAGTAGAAAAAAATATTCACATATACTTATAAACTAAATTCCTTTAGTTACAGCCAATATGTTCAGAGAAAATAACCAGTTTAAATTATACTTTGAGAAATCATAAAAAGTAAAGTTAGAAGTTACTTTTAAGATCAAAATGTTTCTTGAGCTATCAGTTCACTCTTTAAAGATGTGAAATTTGGTGTAATTTTAACTACATGTCTTTTTGTTTTTTAGATTCTGATTTCAGCAGATGATGAAATGGAGGAATCTGATGTGGAAGAGGATCTTAGGAGACTGACTAATTTAAAGTCTGTTAAGAAAAAGAAGCATCGTTTTGGTCTGCCTGTATGACAGGCTCTGCGGTCAGGTTAATGAGGGATCTGTCCGCCTCAGTGGATTTTCACTTGGCCACAGGATGCTTGTTGCCTCAAGACTGTGAAACAAAGGGAACACAGACCATTGGAAACACTTACCAGTTCAGTTGCACTATGGAAAATATGCAAAACACTCTTCTCAACATTGTTCACAAATTCTTGTCACCACAGTGATTTGGATGGATGGGAACCTTCAGAACACAGGCAAAGAATGCCATCATTTCACTGTGGTTCCTCAGTGACACTCTGAAAGTAACAGGAGGTTTGACAACTTTGAAAACAGTATGTTTTATCACACAAAAAAAGATGTTTGCAGCATACCGCTGAAGCAGAATAGTTTTACAGCTACAGATGAATGGTACCTATGGAACTAATGGGCTGCAAAGGTTTTTTTTTCTTCTTTTCAGATCTATTCTAACCTCTTTCAACTTTTATATTTAAGTTATATTTTCATACTGGGATATTTAAGGATTCTCTTTGTCAAGAAATTATGCTATTACTTAGTGTGTGTGGCTTAAAAGGTCAGATGTGCAACAAAAATGGTTTTCCATTGTCTATATCATATAAAGAAGGATAGTGCAGGGACAAAGGGAAGTGGCAGCTGATTGCTTTCTAGAATGAGATGGCCTTGCTCTGAAGAGAACCTGAAGCCCCCTCGAACAAAGAACAATGAAGTGGCAGCAGTGATCATTTCTGAAACAGGGCTGTTGTTCTGTGTGTATGCTGAGCACTTTAGTGGAAAAGCAACAAATACAGGGTTTTCTTCTGTATATCAACTAAACACTTAAAGCTATTTGGATAATAATGGTTTCTTCAGTATTTGCAAATCCTTTGATCTCACAACAAAACTATCCCAAAGCTTCAGTAAACATTCCTTGTCTGGAAAAGCTAATGTGGTACAGATAAGAGCATTTTGCTTCTTGTCAGTACAGTTCAGCTGGCTGCTAGAGAGTCCATGAATTGCTATGGCTTATTCTCCATTTTTCTTTTCTTTTTCTTTTTGTTAAGTCTCATTTCAGATGGATAGGCCAGAATCAAAGCATAGCATAATGATTGTGGTGATTAATGTTAATGTCATTAGGGCTACCCTAAGGTTACTGGGAAGTGTCTCTGTTGATGAAATACTTGTATGCCTGTTGTTAATTGGGATGTATGATAGTCCGATTCATTACTACTTGCAGTGCCTGTTGGTTTGGTAGGGCAGAGGAAATAGTAGCCAATGGTAAGTAGAGCCAGCTAATTCTGGTTTTGGCCTCATCCTCGTCTCTTGTGATGGCGCTAAAAATATTCAGTAGTGGACAGCAGTGTAATTCCTTAATATTGACATAAAAAGATTAATAATCTTTTATGAGACAATGGGACATTGGTGTATTAATGTACTTGGTTCTCTGATGATTTCTCCAATCTGTTACTTTTTCCAACCATTCCACTGAGTATCTATTCCAGAAAAAGCTTAGGGATAGAGTGGTGCTGCCTATATACAGAGAGAAGGATAACTTAAGAGTGGTCATCTTGACATGTTTCCTTAGTTTTTAAATGCAGGTTAATGGCTTTTCCTCCGATGTGCTCTGCTCTGTTCTGCTTTGCTCTGTTCTAAAATGGGCAACAACAAGTAGACTGGCATATAGATCTTTACCTGTCTTGGCAGTAGAAGTATTTAAACTATGAGCCTTTAACATTAGATGAGTATGTATGCTACATTTTAGAAGCTCATACTTAAAACTATTTTTGGAAATTTGCTGTGTCTCTGGGAATGAGAGAAGCAGTGTTAAGCACAATGAACACAAATTGTAGATCTAGGGTCTTGAAATATTTGTAACTGCTGTCTTGTTAAGAATGGTCCCAGAGATTTCCTTTTAATTTTTGTAATGACTACTTTCCACTATGTCAGTTTTATCCTTCCACATATTTATTTTCTGTCCCAAATACACAAAAGCCCGAACCAAGGGCTTTAAAAAGTTGTCAAAACTTCTTTCTTTCCTTATTTACTGTATAATTATTTTTTTTAAAAAAAAAAATCAGACTAGTGCTGTGCCAAAACCTGCCTTACAGTTTCTTAAATATTTTTTTCCCGTCATATTGTCAGGGTATTTGAGAATTACTTCTCTTGATAGTGTTTTTGTTGGAGGTGGGAAAAGCAACTGCTGCTGTTTTCTGCGACACATTTTTCTATCATTCATAAGCTTCCCTGGCTACTTACCCTTCCCAATTTGAGAAAACAAAAGTGAGGCTGAAAATTGTTAGGAGATTGTTATATAGTTCAAGATGAGATGTTCAGATACTCGGCCACCACATCAAAAATAATGTAAGAACACTATACCGCATCTCTTAGAATCTCTCTGAAGAATTTGGAATAATTTTCTAAATTCTTGTTCAATTACCAACTGAAATAAAATTGCAGGATTTTTTTTCTGAATGATCGACATAAACACTGCCTGCCAAACCCTTAAATATCTAGTGTTCACATTGTAAGCATGCAGACTTTCACTGAAAAGCTTAAGTACTTGATATCTTCTTCCCTAATCCTATTCCCTCCAAAGACAAATCAACGTTTCCTCCACTTGCACCCCTGAACTCCAGAAATATTTCTCCTCAGTAACTGTTATAACAGGAACCTTTCAAGAAGAAAGGAACTGCTTCTGGTATAACAATCTAAACAAAATTATACTGTGCATGCTTCTACGATTAGTCTGGATTAAATTACACTTACTCTGCCCTGGCACTAGCATGTACTTGAAGACGCTATTTGCAGCCATTCTGATGAAGATAAGAGATAAGATAACCTTTATTGTCATTTTTTTACTGTGAGCACATTGATCCATATTAAAAATAAAATTCTGTTGCCTGCTCTCAAAAGAAAGTATATATGTACCCATACCCATACATAACACAGATAGGCTATATGCTATATATGTATACATATATACATACACGTACATATATACATTACGTATTAATCACTGTCCATTTTTAATACATAGCAGAAAGAGGTAACTTGAGAATTGACTGGTCAATAGGTTTTATATGCTTCCGTCTTTTCTCCCTGTCTCTTCTTTTCAAATTTATTAAATTTCTAGGTTGCCCAAGTCTTGAATGAATCTGGGCAGCTTTCCTATTTTTTAAATATATATATATACTAAAAAGATTTGTCAGGTGAGAGAAAGACAACACTCAAAGAAAGAAAACATAAATTTCTTCCCCATCATCCCTCATTTAGCCTGGGGGGTTGCTAAATCAAGGCCTGGGAACAGTTAAATGTTTAAGGACCTTCCTAAGGTTGGGGGGGGGACATACTACTCCCTATTGGGTATCTCAAAAAGAGTTTTTCTTTCTTCCCTCACCCTTGTAAGTTGCTTCCTGAACTCTACAAATCCAATGCCAAGATACTCATTGAGGAGCAAGATAGCTAATCTTTATAGGTAGTGGGGTGGGCAGGCCTGTCTGGGGGCAGATAACCAAGATACAGAAGTGCCTCAAGAGCCTTCAGGGGCCAGCTTCCATTGATTGTTTTCCATGCTCATTTCAATTAAATAGCAAAAGATGTCAGGAGAAAAAACAAACATATAATACATACAGAGAGAGAGAGAGACTATATTTTGAGCCTTAAGCATATTCATTGATAGGTGCGCAGATCTTTTCCAAAGCATTTTCTATAATTTTCTATGAATACTTTTGGAGAGAATAAGCTAAAGAGGATCCTAGTTTTCAAACAGGTCATTGGGCTTAGGAGGCAAAAGTGGATTCTGCTGTTTTGAGTGGGGTTTTCTCCTGTTTTTGACTGGTGGTAATTCTAAGATGAAGAAGAAAGTGTTGTCTTATTCTACAGTAGATTTCCAGTACATTCCTTTTTGGGTTTAGATTTATTTATTTATTTGAGTATAACACTAAAAAAAAGCTCCTATAAAGAGATAGGGGCAGTGCCCTTGATTAATATTGCTTCCTACCATACTGGTTTTATGTTTTTTGCTATATAATTCTAATACTATGAATCACTGTTTATCAACCATGATATTCTAAAGAGGTTTTGTTGTACCAATTCGTTAAGTAGATAGTAGCATAGTCCTCTAACTGTATGACAGAATGAAAACTCGGAAAAATGGATTTTTTTAAAGAGATAATGAAACAATGCCAAACACCTGTTATTTTCTGTTTGCCTTATGAATATTAATAGTGTGTGTCGAAATGCAAAAACTTTGTTCATTTTATCCAGTGACTTCTATTTTGTACAGACTGCTTTTAACAGTTGGGATAGGTGTGTCGCTGCCGAGGGAGGGTGGTGTTCTAAAACACCAAACCCAAAGCCTTAAATGTGTTTAAACAGTCCACCGTTAAACAGAGTTCACATTTACTGTTTTGTGTTGAATGGCATTGCCCAGCAGCCTGATCTGAAGCTCAAAAGAAGAAATAATATTCTTCTTAAGTTTGATTCTGTCAATGCTTTTTTTTTAAAAAAAAATAATGCTAATCTTTTTCTAACAAGTCTGAGATTCAGGTCTTTCTACACTTAGAAATTTGTAATCGAATGTTGAATTTGCTGGAGAAAAATGTAAGCCTTCCCATTTCCAAATGGCTAAGAAACAGAAATGAAAATGATCAAGATTAACATCCCTCATAAAATCAAGACTTTAGATATCTAACAGAATTGTTTTAGAAATCCTGCGGTCATTAATGCAGCCTTCATTTTTTTGATTTCAGTGTTTTAATGTCTCCCCAACTACCCTTAAGTAAAAAGTAAAACGTTCTGTACAAATGTTGCTGGTGAAACGTGCGCTAAGTTTCTCTTCAGGGAAAAGACCTCAAACTCGTTGAATTGTGAACCAAACTAAAACAATGCAAAATGTCCCAGAGCCATTCCTTCACAAGCAGATGCTTACTTAGGTTTCCTATTAAGCCTTGCTGGAAAAGAAGGGGGCAGGGCCAGATTGTGCAGCCTTACATTTTCTTTTTCCACAAGTTGGGTCTTTGTGCTTTTTGTGCATAGAAGATTGCAGATTGTAGCTTCTATATGTTAAAGGGTGATAATGGCGAGCACACAGATTCAGCCACATTGGATCATAGGAGACTTTCAATGCATCAAAACTGTTGATGTTCAGTAAATGATGGGGAAATTATGGTTTTAGATATATAAACATCTTGAATCGTTTCTTCTTTTTTTTTTAACTTAAAGGGGCATTCCAAATTGATGTGTCCATAAATGGGAAAACTTGGGAGAATGAAACTTGGAAGCCAAGAGATGTTCCCCACTGGAAGAAGGGGTCAGAACAGTGATTTTACCAGTTCTACTTTTCTCCAAGGCTGTCTCCTGTGTTGTCCCATGAAACAACTTTTTAGAAAGCACAAGGCAGAAGGAGTGAGAATAAGGACTGGATCCAGCCTTTGCTAATTAATACACAATGTAGTTTTGGGATTCAAAACAAAAATGAATGTTAGTCCTACAGCATTAAAAAGGAAACCATAAGGCCCACCAGATCATAATTTTACTGTTGGTATTTTATGAAAATGAAAATCATATGTGTTGTACCTAAGTAATGGTTTACAATAAAATCTGATTTGATACAAATCTGTCATTACATGCCTTTAACACATGACCTACATGTAATTTGGGATAGTTTTAACTGGTAGTAGAGATCAGAATCATAGAAACCTCTTGTTGGAGGGGACCATGCAAGCTCAACCCCTTCCTTAACACAGGATCAAATTAGAGCATGCCAGACTGATCAAGCCACCACTCCAATGAAGGGGGACCCATTATCATGCTGGAGATAGCTGATGGACCAATAATAGATCCCATCTCTCCCCTGTATATTCTGTTCCTTCCCTCCCCATCTTTGTTATGTACTGTATTTTGATTGTGATTTTAGAAGACTCATTTCTAATATTCAGATGGAACTGCCTTCCAGTCAGCTTAAATCCCTTGTTCTGTATCCTGCATCTTAGAATGATAACAAGTCTTCACTTTCTTCTGTATGATTTAATTTCAAGTGGTTGAAGAGTGTTATATTTCTTACCTCCACTCTCTTCACAAAAGTAAATGTCCCCAGCTGTTCCAGTCTCATTTTATTTTCTTCTTCTTAAAGTGTATTGCCCAGAAATGGACATTCAAGGTGGTATCTGAAGAAAGTAGAATATAGTAGAATAAATCACTTTCTTTCATTTGAAAAATATGGTTTTATTGATGCAAGCTTAAAGTGCATCTGCTTTTTTTTTGTAACCACATCACATATGTTCCATTTGCAATCAACAAATACGTTTTTTCTTCTTTTAAGAACTATTAACAAATTAGTATGCTTATCCTATAACTCAATTTTTACGATCCTGTAATGCCTTAATTTGGGATGGAGTTGGAGAGACTGGATGGAGCTGAGCATTTATTGGCCGGATGCCCTTCCTGACGCCATGCAGAGTTCACAGCAGATCTTTTTTCTTTGTGCCCTAGGAGAGAAACATCCGTTACCTAGGAATGAACTCTCAACCTTCCAAGTGGGAGGTGAGCATCTCCCTTATCTTCCCAGGACTTTCCCATTCCTTCCATTAGCCCACTAACTCTGTCAAATTTACCATTTTGTTTGAGCTTCATTGGAAAATTATTGGGTTTTTTTACCCTAAGAAGTTCATATCTTTGTGTCCCCTCTTGAAATGTCTTCATATTTTCCCCCATGGTTTGGGAACTCCTGTGCTATATGATACCTGTTTCTTGCAAAGAATCCATGCTCTGCTCAACAAGTCTGTTCTGTGAATAAGAGGAAGTTTAAATCTGAGGTCACCAATATGCTGTCTACAGATCCCTCCTGTACCATCTGCTATGCTTCATCTTCTTGTACTTTTGGAGTTGGGTGACTAATAAATTTGAAGAAATAAATGAATAATTCAAAGTAAATGAGAAGCTGGCATGTTACAAAGCAAGTGCCAACCTTTGCATCACTTTAATGTTTCCAGTAGTATTAAAAAATAAATAAATTGATGGCTGTATCTGAGCTGTTACTTAGATGAGAGTCAAAAATAATTTGAAAGGCTACTTATGGACTTGTGGGAGTAGCAGAGGTATCACCAATTTGCTTTCTGTAAAACAGCCTAAGAGTGTTTATACCTTTCGTGACAGCCAGCTGTTAATAGAGAACTTCCCCCACCCTGTTCCTCATGTCTCTGGCTAGGGAGTCAAATGACAGTGCACCCCAATTTAAATACTTCTGTCAGACATTGGGATGCAAGTGTCATGCGCCAGAGAAATCAGAAGATCCAGGCAGTTCAAATGGGTATAAAGATTTATTGCAAGTTTAATCTCTATACAAGATTCTGAACTACTAAAGTTCCAAGCAAATTAGTGGTAGATAAGAGTTAAAGGAATTCAAGGTGGGCTGGATTTAGACTTCTGGTGGGCACAAAGGGACTCATGACTGATGACATGTTTGGCCCCTTCCTCAGGTTCAGCCTGGTCATCTCCTACAACAAGTGTGTAATTATAGCATTTTCATGTTGATCTTGTGTGCATGTCATCATTTTAATGTCATTGCTGTATGTTACAAATGCCATTTACTCCCCCACAAAATCCAGTTTTTGAAAGAATTAGATATGTCTAGTTTAATGAAAAGAAGGACTAGGGTTGACATGATAGCAATGTTCCAATATCTCAGGGGCTGCCACAAAGAAGAGGGAGTCAAGCTATTCTCTAAAGCGCCTGAAGGCAGGACAAGAAGCAATGGGTGGAAACTAATCAAGGAGAGAAGCAACCTAGAACTATGAAGAAATTTCCTGACAGAACAATTAATCAGTGGAACAACCTACCTCCAGAATTGTGAATGCTCTAACACTGGAAATTTTAAAGAAGAGATTGGACAACCATTTGTCTGAAATGGTATAGGGTTTCCTGCCTTAGCAGGGGGTTGGACTAGAAGATCTCCAAGGTCCCTTCCAACTCTGTTATTTTATTCTATTCTATTCTATGGTCAAAATTATAAGTTTGCCCAATGGTCTAAATCTCTTTTAAGACTTGTGGACTTCAATTGCCAGAATTCCTCAACCAGCCATGCTGGGAATTCAAGTCTTAAAGTTGCCAAGTTTGGAGACCTCTGGCCTAAATTAAAAAGATTGTTTTCTGCATTCTTCCCATTCCCTTTAATACCAAAATAGGGGATACATGACTGGGAACTCATGGAGATTAATACCACTATGGTGATACTTGGGATCAGCATTCCCTAAGCGTTTTCTTGTGTATTTTATTTATAACCAGGGTTTAACACTTTCACTTGGACAGAAGTGGTGGCTGAATACAGAAATGTGCGTTTGTGTAGAAAAAGAATGTATGGAGGAAAGAGCTTACAAAACATAGAAGAAAAAGAAGACCCTCGTCTCCCTCTGAACTATTTTTGTCCTAGTATGATTTACTCATTTATAGTCCATCTTTGAAAAGGGGGGGAGTTGCAGTGGGAGTAATTAATCTTCATGATATAAGCAATAAAAGGAATAGCTTAAAATACATCAGCTTTAAAAACAATGAAGCAGAACCTAGATATCTGGGCACATAAAATGAAACTTAATTAAGAAAAAGTGTTGCATAATAAAAGTTTTGCAGAGGGATTCCAGAAACAGAAAAAGGAAGGGCTTGAAGGATTTTTCCTAAAAAGAACAGCCCCCAAGTTCTTAATTTAGACCAGTCAATAAGACAAATGGAAACAATCAGCTATGTTGGATTGCTTGAAACAGAGCAAGAGAGCTTATGCAATGTTTGTTATGTGATGTTGATTTCAGGGTTTTCTGCAGGCACTGGACAATCTTCTTTGGAATAACTAACCCCTATAGAGGACTTGAGAAAACAAGAAAAAGCACTCAGAGAAACCTTCCTTAAAATTACAAGAATACTGAGAATTTGGATTTTCTGTAGTCAAACTGGGGGGGAGGGGGGGACTAATGGCTGGGGAAAGATCCAGCCCACAGTCGCCACTTTGTGGGGTGTCTCAAGACTCTGTTCTCTCTTCTCTCCTTACATGAGGCTGCTGGATGAGGTGATCTGATGGTTTAAGGTGAGGTATTAATACGTTGATAATACCCAGCTTTATATTTCCACCCCAGGCTGCCTGGTGTTCTGTCCCTGTCCTGGAGCAACGGAGGTTGACACAGTTCAGGCAAAATAGACTGGCTTTGGGTATTTGAATCTTCTGGCAACAAGACTTTTTTTCATTGCTGTTGTGGATGGGGTGGCACTGCCCCAGCCTGACCCAGTGTATAATCTGGGGGTCCTATTGGACTCAAAGCTCCTGCTAGAAGAGTAGGTGGTATCCATGGGCCAGAAGGCTTTGGATATCTTTTGTGCTTAGTGCATCCATTCCTGGGTTGGGAGGCTTTGCTCACAGTCCCTCATTCCCTTCGTCTGGATTACTGCATTGTGCTCTACACAGGGCTGCCTTTGAAGAGCATTCATAAGTTTCAACTGGTGCAGAATGTGGCTGCACAGGTAGTAAAGGTGCTGGATATTCAGCACAAGTAACACCATTGTTTCAGGAGCTGCATTGGCTGCCAGTGTGCTTCCAAGCTGCAATTCAAGATGCTGGTTATCATCTTTAAACCCCTTCATGGCTTGGGGCTGGATTACCTAAGGAAACTTCTGGCTGGTTTGGCATATTATGAGTCCCATCAGCCAAACAGTGTCATCTGGTAGGGACCAGGAGATGGGCCTTCTCTGCCATAATCCCTGCCCTTTGGAACATTCACCCTTCAGAGATCAGGATGACCTCAAATCTGATGGCCTTTCATAAGGTGGCAAAGACTTGGTTGTCTACCCAGGCCTGGCTCCTGAGTGTGTTAAGGGCTCCGTTTGTTGGCTCTATTAACAATCATGGTTGCAGGTCTACTTGTTGCATATGTATTTATTTTGTATTGGGGTTTTTTTATGTTGCATCCTGTATACCGCCTAGAGTCATTTGTTGAGATGGTTGGCTAGAGAAATGAAGTAAATAAATAAATAGGTACATTTCAGTTCAGACCCAAACCACCCAAACTAATGTTTTTCATGAAGTACGGAACACAGACAGTTTTGTTCCACATGCAGTTTTTTAAGGTTTGAGAGAACATTTGAGTGAGTTGGTAGCACTGAATATAATTAAGAAAAAATAGTCCATAGGCATCATAATCGGGTATGTAAGAAAGAAAATTGGTCCTCTTAGAATATAGATTATAAAAAGCCACTTGAACAAAGAATGGATTATCCATCACTCAAAATACAAGAAATATTTGCATTACCTGCAATGTCTACATGATTTTCTGTACTAGACCAGAAGCATGGATACTGTCCAAGTTCATAAATAAACCTGCAGATTGTCCAAAGCCTGCTTTCCTTATGCAGGGAGTCCTTAACTAATAACAGTTCATTTAGTGACCATTCAAAGTTACAACAGCACTGAAAATAGTGATTTATAACTGTTTTTCACACTTATGACCATTGCAGCATCCCCGTGGTCATATGAACAAAATTAAAGACAGTGGGCAATTGACTCATTTATGATTGTTGCTGTGTCCCAGGGTGATGTGGTTACCATTTGCGAACTTCTGACAAGCAAACTCAATGAG